ATTCCTGGTTAATGAAAGTTTGTTACAGTGGATTGGTAGGCAAGTGTGCCTTGTTTGTTAAAACTGATATCTTGGTTAAAATATGCAAAACTTTAATGCCTTACCTGCTGTGTTTGAATTCTGAACAAATGTTTAGACAGCAATTTATTTACAGACCTTCTTTAAAAAAAAAAAATTTTAATTTGTTGCAGCCTAATTAATGATGTTTCTAGAATACATACTTTATGTATGTGTGAGTGTATGCACATCTCTGAGCTGTAGGTTTTTCTATTCAGAGCTACTTTTTTAGAATCTATATGTATTATCTTGATGTTCTAAATTGTAATGATTGTGGAAAATGTTTTGAAGATGTTGGAATGTTTTGAGGTTTCATTGTCAAACCATTAAGTGCTTTTAAAAACATTTGTTAAATATAAAGTATGTATTTCATTTGGTAGGAATTTATTACAGGACTAAAAGGCTACCTGTAAGTGTATGTGTCTGTATACATGTGCACACACACACACAATTGTGTTTTGGGGGAAAGGGGCTTTCACTTCTCTCTTTTTTTTTCTTTTTTTTTTTTTCTTCCATCGCTGTATCATTTGATACCACTATTCTGCTCCTTACTGATAGAGTGATTGGTTTAGAGTAGAATTACTTCTTGGATTTGTATCAGTGTGAGATCAGAATCTGTCCTTGAGGCTGAAATTGCTGTTACTGAAACACATTCACGTTTGTCTCTTTCGGAGTCAGCGATGGTGAATTTGTGTAGCTTTTACTGATAGTTGAACGGTGCGCTGTTTGTTGAACAGTGTAGCATCCCCATCGATGACACAGGAGTTATAGCAGCAGCAGGATAGGAATGTCAGACAATTTTTTTGTTGCTGTAAGGCTGTGGTTTCAAATGTAAGAAATGTGTCGGTAACGTGCGTGTGTGGAGGGAAGGGGGAAATGGAAAGTGATACACCTTGGTCACACAGGTGATTCATGCAATGAATGAAATAATAATCTTTAAAATGCCCCAGCAATATTTGTTGCTCATTTTGTAATTTATTTTTACAACAGGTTCCCGTAAAGAATCAGCTCCTCAAGTCCTGCTTCCAGAAGAAGAAAAAATTATTGTAGAAGAAACTAAAAGTAATGGTCAGACTGTTATAGAAGAGAAGTAAGACAACATTTAATGAATGATGGATTAAACCAGTGAACTTTGCACTCTTCTTCCTCCTCCCATCTCCCATTGTAGTAGTGTGTGTATAGTATATTTGTCGTAGGGAGCAGAGCTGTTTGGAGTATGCTGCCAGTCCTTGAATGCAGTTGGCCTTCATTTAAATGCTTATAGTCTGGTTTCTTTGTATATGGTATGCAACTTATTTCTTCCATGCCGAGGAGCGATACGTTTTACTTGTAAATAGTTTTTCCAAGTGCTATAGGATTTCAATATTCAGTTGGTGTCATCTTTCTAGTTAGTGTGTGCCATCACTCTGGGGTTTTTTGTAAGGTGTATGCTGGAAATGAAATACAGTTCTGTACAGAAAGCTGTAATATAGAAACCATTATAGGTCCATATGTGCTTGAGGGAAGTTGGTAACAGATCCTTGCCTTACTGAATATAAAGACAGTTTTTTTAACACAAGTTTGGAATTAGCTGTTAGCTGTGGGTTTTCGTTTTTTTTAATGCATTTCATTTTGTTTAATAATAGATTTAGACGTGTTTCTGAAAACCGTTGTAACAAATCATCTTCTTTTTTCATTTTAGAAGCCTTGTTGACACAGTATATGCATTAAAGGATGAAGTACAGGAGTTAAGACAGGTTGGTAACTTGCTACATTTATAGCAACATGGAGAATGGAAAGATGACTTATTATAAAAATAAATATGGCTTGTAAGTTGATTCACTTTGACAGGAATGAACTGGGATTTTTGGGCTAGATTAACTTTTAAAAGTGAAACATAGCAATTTGACAAAAAACACCCTCTGTTGTGGTTACTGTCAGTCCTTGGAGCCCCAACCTTTGAGAATAGTGTTAAGTATCCTCCCTCTGAGGTGACTTAGTAAGCTACGTGTCATTTATTTTTGGACGTTACGACTTGTGAAATGTTGAAAGCGTTAAGCAAATTCAGTTCTGCTGTATCACTGGCAAAATCAACTTAGAGAGACTGAGAAATAGTATTTGCTCTAGAATGTATAATTCTAGTAGTATAAATGTCTGGATCTATTTAGGTCTTTGCTTCAGTAACCTGAACACCTCTTACAAATCGGTTCTTGAAACCTCTCATTTCCAGAGATGAGAGTCCTTTTCAGTGTCTATCATGTGGATTTATTTTTAATGAGGGCTTCAGGTTAGCTTAGGGTGCTGCTTTGTCACATGGGGGAATTGTGCAAGATCTCACCTGAGCTGCTGGTATGGAAGTTGCAGCTGATGTTTAAAGTATCCAAAATGAGGTGTTTAAAATATCTTTTTCTTGTCAGGACACAGCCTTTTAAACCATGTTAATGCTGCTGCACGTAGTCATTGCTTAATGCGTAGGCGAAAAAGCATTGGATTATCCTCGCTCTCCGATGTGTGAATTTGCTAACTGACCTTAACAGTTCTGACTCAGGAAGCTGGATAAAATCTCCTGTTAATGTAAAATGGATTTGTATTCAAATTATTTTAGATTTTGGACTACAAATGTGAATCTGTATTTTTTTCCTATCTGTAAGCATGCCCAGTATTTCTAAGGATGTGCGTGTTCCTTGAAATAGAATGGCTGATGTCTTAAATACTTAAATTCTGCTGGTTTTAACATATAAAGCATGTGTATCCCAGGTTTGATACAAATTTTGATAGTCTTTTTAAAAATACAATTCACGTAGTACAAGTTGCAATAATAACCCACTAATATTCCCATGGCCTGGCTGCTTTTGTACAAAGGATGAACGTGCTGCCTTGCTGAGGCCCCGCAGATCTCTGTGGGACCCTAAACAAAAAGTCATCTTCTCCTGAACCTCAAGCAACAGCGCTCTCCTCTCTCTGGTGCCTTTCCAAATAGATGGTCTCCTCAGAATCTTGCATCTTCCAAAGCCAAGACCTGTTAAAGCCTGAGTTCGTTTTCTTGTGTGTGGGGAATCTCAGTTTAGGAGCACGTATGGGTCTGCTGCTGTGATGTTGCCAACTGGAGAAGTCACGGAAATAATCTGAGCTGGGAAGGTCCCAAGTGGCCAAGGGCTTTATGGATAAAGGCTCTCGGGGGTACCTAGTGCGTGGGTTGGTGTGGACAGACACCCATTGGTGAGAGGTACCAGGCGAAGCGGGATCCTTCCCGTAGCACCTTCCATAGGTTACTCGTGGCTGTTGCTTCACAGGCGCTGTGCTTGAATAGTACAGTCCTGAACTGGCAGTAAATAAATAAATGGAAGGAAATGGAGTCTATGCCTACAAGGGAAGGATGAAATCTCTGCGTTTCTGAACCGACTTGAGGAGGGAATGGAGTTAATGAGGCAGCAGCTGTTGGTCTCGTCCTGTTTCTAGAAATGTCTGTAAGTGACAGCTGATGGGAGTCCAGTGGGATCCCGGGGACTGCAGAACTGTATTTGTTAAACACCCATAGGCTTGTTGTCTTGAGGCCTTAATAGAATGTTGTCTTATCTTCTGGTTGCTTCCCTACTGTTGCTAGCATCACCAGGGCCTGTACGGGATTAGACAGTGTAAGCATGACTGTGGTTCGGTCAGTGACACCCTTGCGGTCCTGTTGTTCGTGGTATGTCAGTGTCGGCTGATGGCACGAAATACTGAGAACTGACGCACGCATTGAAGTACGTGCAGAGTGGTGGTGGTCCTTCAAATCCAGACTCCTCTTAGGCTGTTGGTAGTCACCGGTCTGGTTTAAAACGTAGTCACAAAACACTTTCAAGAGAATGTAGTGGTTTTCAAGATACTCCTTTCAACTATTTACTTTGCTAATGAAGCAAGTTAATTTGCGTTAAGTTTTAAGCAGCTTTTCTGAGATTGTGAAGCTAGTTATAATCACAGGAGGCTCTTAGAGGGGATATTTACTGTACTTACTGCTGCATTTACCTTCTCCGTTAACAACAAATATATTCTACTCTTCATTGATCAAGTTTGAGCAGAAGAATTCAAGATTATTGGCCATCTGTTACTAGCACTTGCATTATAAAGGACCCCTAAGTATAAATAGGAAAGAGCTCCGTTTCCATTTGGTGGTTTTTGTTGTGTTGGGTGAAGTAACTGTGTGTGACTTGTGAAATTTTAATAGAAGGTTTTGCTTTTGAACAGCTAATAGCAGTCTTAATGAGAAGAGCCTTCAGAATTTGTAATTGACAGTTGTATGTATGGGCAGAAAAGATCTGTTAAACAAACCAGTAATATTTCTGTCTCTATTAAACAGGATAACAAAAAGATGAAGAAATCATTAGAAGAAGAACAAAGAGCTCGCAAGGACTTGGAGAAGCTTGTTAGAAAAGTTCTAAAGAACATGAATGATCCATCTTGGGATGAAACCAACTTATAACTAGGTTTTTTTTTTTTTCTTTCTATTGAAAGACCAGTTGTAAAACTGAGCTGGGAAGCCTTCTGACATTAGTCAGTGTTGCATCAAGAGCACTACAAAACAGGATTTAACTGGATCTAGTGATTTCTTGCTCTGAACATATAGAAACAGTCAAGCCATTTACTGAAGCAATCTGTACTTTAAGTCTGGAGACCATGGATCCTGAACTCTACTAAACTTAATTTGTTTGCATCTAAATTACCTCATTTTGCAGAAAGTGCAGCACCTGACTAAAAGTCCATGTTTTTCAGTGGCTTTTTAATTAAATATATATTTTTCTTGTAAATATCTGTAATTTTGAATGCATATGTGATTGATGTATCAGGGCTGATATGTTATTTTTTTTCTCTTGTTATTACAATGGTCACGAGTGTTAGAAATGACGGCAGTACTGTCTTACCTAAGAAAGGTCAGAGTTCTTTGTGGATAATTATGGATTTCTTCCAAATTACCCACTCATCACACATGCAAATTTAAAAACCCGTTTTTTCTTTTGACCACTGTATTTAAATCCCTCACCGTTATTTATGTCTGTGCATACATTTTTGAACAGTTTACAATTCTTTAAGAACAGTATTAAAATACAGAAAATCGTTTCTTGACAGTAGAAGCAATTTTTAACAAAACCAACGCCCATGATTTATGTTCACGTACACTTGTTTGGCAGACTAAATCTGTTGTGTTTTTGGCCACCAAAAGACTGATGTACTTGCCTGCTTTTTATGACTGTGATTTTTAGGTGTTTATGTACTACATTTTCTATTGTTGTGCTTAAACATTCATATGGCTGATAATTTAATAGATCATACAGTTTGTTAAAGCAAAAAACCCCAATCTGATCCAGAATTTTGCAAATAAATTGTTGCTATTTATATTTTATGGTCACAACAATTAAATTTTAGCTAACCTTTGTGCTTAGGACACGTGGGCTAGCCCAAACTTCATTCAGAGCTTTGTTTTTATACCACTATGTAAGACTCTGTTTGGAATTCCCAGACTGTGGAAGCAGTCATTCCTTTCCCACCAGGTTTTCTCAGCGTGATGCTGGTTTCTGTCCTACTAGGGCTTAAATGGAAACAAATCTGGAAATAAGATTATTTTTTTTTAAAAAAAAATCATACTGTAATTCATAATTTGCACTGCTGACAGATTTGAAAATACATAAATGAACATTTATTCCCTAGTCTGATGGGTGCAATTACTGCAATCTTTTCTTGTATTTAAAATAGGAGATGCTACATCACTGCAAACGGTGAGCTTTGGTTGGAGCACTTAAAATACGAATCCCATGAAAGCTCATTGTAAGTGTTTCACTGATTTCAGCAAACTTTGTTTCAAACTCCAGATGGTGCAGTTTTCAGAGGGGTGGTTCTTCAGCTGACAGTCAGAAGTGCAGGTATAGCACAGACCCAAGTTGCACTTTGTCATCCTGATTTTCTAGTGCCCTTTAACGCCTGTTGAATTTAATGCTTGGACTTGAGCAAATGCTTGTATGAACTTTAACGAGTTGGAGCTAGGATGATGAGGCTGGTAAGAATTGTCACGCACATTTTAAATCTCAAAATCTATTTTTAAAGCTATCCACTTTTCTCAGCCAAGAACAGCTTTTTTTTTAAATAGGAAAGAATGTCAGTGATTACATACTTGAGAAACAATTCTGTGGGAATGGATGCTTAAGAATTTGAATAGACGGTTAGTTGTCTGATGTAAAAAGCTGAACATATTTGTAGTGATTTTAATTTGTGTTCCTACAACTTAAAAATGTTTTCCTTTAATTCTAAAGGAGGAGACTGGATAAGAAAACTAAAGACGTCTGCAGTATCAGAGTTACATATATTCACAGAACTTAAAACTTATTGTAATTCTTGATACCAAAATCTTTTCCTGTTTGCAGTTGCACAAAAATGTGGACTGACATTTATATTTATCTTCATATTTAGAAAATACTCGTGCTAAAAACTAGGTGATACTAAACCCTGCAAATTCATAGCATCTCAGCTAAATTTAGATTT